CTCTCAGCTGTGTCTGCCATCTCAGAATCCAGAATTTCTCTCTTTGCTTCCACTTCTTCATAATGTGAATCTCTAAACCTGGCCACATAGAGTAAGGGTAATAATCCTTGGGACTTGGTGTGAGATGGATAATTAGTTCCATTTCTCTTAGTAATACTTTGGGCCACACCCTGCATAGAACTCTTGTCTTCAAGGATACCACATGCTTCCAAAGTTTTGTCTTTCTTTCTTTATATGCAGACGGCATAGCACCTTACTTCTCTAAACTTTCTTGTTTTCTAAGTTTTGACCCTAAGGGTCAAACCTGTGTGTGGAATGGCAATGGGTTTTTGATCCTACTGCACGTACTGGCTTTGTGGGAGCCTAGGCAGTTTGGATGCTCACCTTACTAGACCTGGATGGAGGTGGGTGGTCCTTGGACTTCCCACAGGGCAGGGAACCCTGATTGCTCTTTGGGCTGACGAGGGAGGGGGGCTTGATTGGGGGAGGGGGAGGGAAATGGGAGGCAGCGGCAGGGACGAGACAGAAATCTTTAATAAATAAATTAATTTAAAAAAACCTGTCTGTGGACCACTTTTGCTGTGTGTCACAACTCTCATACATAATAGTGAGTTAACATCGAATTCTAAAACTGTTCTATCTTTTGTCAGTATTTCTTCTTAGACACATGGAAACTTATGGGGGATGTTTTAATATTTCAAAGTACATGACTATTTTGCTATCATTTTGAAATACACTTTTATTTTTTGATTTAATATAAAAATAATTAAAATAACATTTGTTTTGTTATCATATATATACGTAAATTTTATAGGTATTCTTTATTTACCTGAAAAGTCTCACATTCTCTTTCTATGTGTTTATTGATGAGATAGATTATTTGTAAATCATCTTTGATTAATTTTATCTGTTATGAGATTTGAATTTTCATAGCAATTTACTATTTTGAGTGCTGTGGGGTTTTTTTAGCTAGTGATATGGTCAATTTTGTCATACACAGAGAAAGAGTAAGAGAGAGGGGGGATAGAGTTTGGGAGATAAGAAGAGAATGTCATGGGCAGGTAGAGGAGTAGTCTGGGTGACAACTGGGATTTCTATATTCTCCTGTCCCAGAACAAGGTCTTTCTTTGCCAGGAACATGTGAATAGTGGTAGAAATGGAGACAGTTTATTAATAAAAAGAGCACTTGGTGTCTGGAGATCTGGCTCAACATTTCGTAGTGCATACTGCTTTTCCAGAGAATTCGAGTTGATTTCCTAGAACCAATGACGTGAGGCTTTTCACAACTGCCTGTAACTCTAACTTTTGGGGGTCTGACACCCTCTTCTGGGCTCTGTAGGTGCCTGCACTCACATGTACATACCCACACAGACACACAAACACATACACACACACACACACACACACACATACACACACACACACACACACACACTTTTTAAAAATAAAAGTAAGCCCCCAAAAACATAAAGGAGAAGAAAGAAGAGAACACTTAGCAAGCAAGGATGTGGGTCAGAGAGCTGAGAAACAAGATTAGTGGCTAAACTATTTATGATTAGCTTGCCTAAAGAAGCCATTTTGTCCTTATAGTCAGTCAATGGCTTACTGGTCTCATGCATCTTCTTTTGTTTGCTTTAAAACTGTTGTCTTTATTTTTTTCCATATATTTTTCAAAAAGCCTGCTTTGGGTGGTCTTGTAATTCCAAATCTGAGTATTTATGCCTTTCACAACCCTGACCTTTCCTCTTCATTTTGTCTCTGCCTCTTTATCATTTCTCCTTTAAGACAATTTTTAAGGAGATGCATTTAGAGTTTCATTTCTTTCCTCTTTATATCTTGTTAATATTTTATCTCTTGTTCTGTGTGCTTAATTCTGGATTTCTTTGTCTCTTTCTTATAGCTTATTGATTATTCTTGCAGTAACATCTATTATGCATTTAAACTAAGAGATGAATATGTAAAGTCAACTGCATGTTTAAGGGCAGTGAGTGAGATTTTATTATTGTTGATGGTGTTCTCTTGTGTTGAAAACACTTATTAGTCACTTTAGATGCTTTGTAGTATACTAGAATTTCATAATCTAAATTCCTCTGTGGCTTCCTTTGGTTATTTCTGAGTCGGTTATCCCTCTTAGTTGTGTTGTTATCAGTCCATGTGCCCTTGGCCCTGTCCTTTTGAGCCTAAGGTGAGGCAGAACAAGAAGGCCAAAAGAAGCCATGTTAGAAGAGACTGGTCGCTGCATGGCTTACAGTAGATAGAGATTGTGGAACGGCCAGGAATAAGATACATCTTTCTCTGGAGTTCCCCGAGTGACTTTCCCACTCACTCCAACTAAGCTCAAGTTCTATCCTCCCACCACTTTTAAAGTGTTGTCATATTGAAATGCATGAAACTCATTCACTGATTAGCTCAGAGTCTTTATAATCCCCAAAGCTCACTAGCTAGCAAAGAACCCCTCAGTGTACCAGCCTGTGGGGGAACAGTTGATAGTCAAACTATAACAATGAGAGGAAACAAATGGTTTTGCCTCATACAGTTCATTACTCTCAAAGGAAAGGAGAAATGGCTCAAATGTCAGAGTCTCTGTCGTTGAAGTCTAAGGGTCTGTTTTCATAACTTTTGCAGGTGATTCTAATCTATAAGGCACAATAAAGATGAGTGAAATGATTACCTGGAAATTAGGAGCATAGTGAGTACTAAGGATCATTAGTTAAGTCTTCTTTTTGATATAAAATTTTTCATTTTGATTATTTGATTCTCATCACCAATTGCTGCCATTTTGAATGGGCAGGAGGTAGTTCCTTGCAAATGCACGGAGGGAGACTATGGGGGATATGTAATCCTGCTGCAAAGGCGTGGGCCTCTGCAATCAGAGCATCCTGAGGCTTAAGAAAAGTCCCAATTTCACCATACTAGTTTGAAGATTTTTGTTCATTGGATAAAGGCAATATACCTGGCTCTTGCTAGATTTAATTTTTTCTCCTGTGCAAAACGGAGTTAAAATATACAACTTTTGTTTAAGCATGTAGTAGTTACATAATATAAAATATCTAAAAATACTTGAGACATTTTCTAATAGTAAGATGTTAATAATTAATAAAAATCCCACTTACTTTCCACCTTTTTATTTCACTTTGTCTGATTGTATCATTTCTTTATTAGCTTTCCCTCTTTATTGATAATCTAGCTCCTGCATATATAATACAGATTCTAAGTTCACTGGAAATGGATTTGACACTTGAAATCTCAAAAGAAAAGAGGGGATTATGCCTTGTGAGGTTCAAAGGCCCTTTGTCCCCTTGATATTGATTTTCTTAAATCAGATAGTAGCCAAGACCTTGGAAAAAGTAATTGAACTGACAACCAGCAGATCTAAGTTATTAATAATGGAGCAGCCTTGGACATTCTTGATGACTTAATGTAATGACAGAAGGGAGGTCTGAAATGCCTGGAGTTGGGGTCAGTGGTTGAGTCCCATAGGATAAAAGAAAACACAAGTTATTTCTGAGAACTTATTTCATGGAATAAAGTCTTTATGATAGTTTCAAATACAAGGACAGATGAAGTGGTCTTGATCTTGTTCTTTTTTTTAGTAAAACAAAACTTTGAAAACAAAGTTTGCTATCATATTTTTTTCCATTATTAAAACACTGATTTACTAGGTGTTATATTGTCTTAGACTCTTCATAAGCAAATACTCAAGGGTAAAATCATGGCTGAATTATCATTTTAACTACTGGATTCAAATATAAATACTGTTGTCTACTAGTTGTATGGCATTGACCAAGTGAAGTAGCCTCTCAGATGATTAGTTTCATATCTGTAAAATGGAGAAATATATGTTTTACTTATAGTTATGGAAGAATATGGAAGATCTTTTCTGTAAAATCTATATAACAACAACCTCATGTAAATAATTGTTGAATAATGAAATCCATGAATTTTTTAAGCTTTATCTTTTTCACTTGTAAGTGTAGGGAAAGGCTTGATAAAAGTAAAATCTCAGAGCCTGTTTCTTTCCTCCTTCTATTCTAATTGCCTGAGTCCTAGTCTTCAGGCATCATGGGATATGTATCAGTGGTTTTGGGTATGTTTCAATCCAGTTCATCTTTCTTTCATAAGCTCTTGTTTTCCCTTATGCAAAATGTGTTCATTAAAACAAAGATCTGATTGTTATTGTCAGCACTGCCACTTTAGAAAATCCTTAGGCATCTATAACACTCCATTCTTTCATTGTGAGGGTAATAGGACAAGAGGAGGGGGTTTATTGAGCACCCATGGTTCTACAATGCATGCAGATTAGAGCTGAGCCTCACATCCTGAGCCTATAGGAGAAGATAGCGCAGTGAAGCCACAGAAAGGAGTAAACATCTCTAAATCTCATCAAAGAGCTCCAATAGCTGGAGAATATTGCCATTATAATTTAGTACTGTTAGCATCTTTAGTCTCATTGAACATCAAAGGTCTACCTTTACCCTAATGGCAGAATTTATTTCAGAACAAATTCTAGATTGTTCTAGAGAAAGATGGGAAATTAGTAACTAAATTTTATAGAGGCTCTTGTATTACCTAATGAGAGTTGAAACAATATACATACATTAACTCCTTTAGTTCCTATCAGAACCCCACTAGGTAGGTACAATTACTACCATATATCAACATGGGAATTATTATCATCTCATAATACATCAGGTATTCTAATAACATAATTCAGGTCACAAAACCCTGAAATGTTAGTTATAGAAATAAATATCAGGCTTTCAGGGCTCCAAAACTAATTAAGTGAAAGTCGATTGTGGTAATTAATTCCAAAAGAGTAAGATTTGTAAGCTTTCGGGCTTCCCCGGCACAAACAAGTTACAGTCCACGATGTCTGTTGCACTGTGGGGTGCGAGACCGCATGGCTTCCTTTAACCTTGCTTATGGTTTTCTGCCTTAATTATTAAAAAGTGGCAATCTACATAGCAAGGACTTTTGACAACTTTCTCTTTCTTTTACAGAGGGTCATTTTCAACATTGTTAACTTCAGTAAAACCAAGAGTCTTTATAGAGATGGGATGGCGCCTATGGTGAAATCTACCAGCAGACCAAAATGGTAAGTGACCCATGTGGTGAGGTGATCTATTTCTGATCAGAAAATTTGACTTGTTGCTAAAGTTTGTCCTTTTCATAGCTGGGGCAAAACTTTATTGTATCAGAGAAATATGAATCAGTGGAGCTTCTAGATGGCTATTACCTGGGCTCTACGTACTGTTCTTTCAGAACATTAGGAACTTTTTCCCATGTTTACTAGAACCAACATTTGGTTATGAGATTAGGTACAGCATGATGTTTGGTAAAGTTATTGTCTCATTTTGATTTATTGTGTATCTTTGGGAATATACTTAAAATTGGACTTCTGCCCACTCCTCTTCTTTTGGTCTACTCTAAATATAGATGATCACGTGCATCCCAGAATAGCTGTGAATGCAGTTCAGCATATTTGCAGATGGCAATGTCATGTCACAAAAATGGTTTGACACTCTGGATATATTTCTCTTCTTTCCTTCCTTCCTTCCTTCCTTCCTTCCTTTCTTCCTTTCTTTTCTGTGTGTATGTTTTTATGGTATTTTCTAAAGTCATTGTAGTTTTATAGATGATAGAGTTTTATTTGTTCCATCACTATACTGAGGAGGAGACAAGTTAGAGTTAGGTAGGATTGCTTACTAATTGTAATGATGGTGATATTAATAATAATAATAACAACCACACCATTTGTTGAAACCTCATTCTTTTGCAAACGTTTTACTTCTATGGTTAATATTTCCACACTTCTCTAAGAAACATTTTTAAATATAAAAAACTTCAGATGAAAAAGTTGAGGCTAGGAATAATTAAGTATTTTCTCAAAGCCATCAAAGCTAAGGGAGGACCTAGTTATTTATATTTTGCCTCATCGGACTGTGAAACTGCTTCATCTTTAGCCTCTGTCTATTCATTTATTTACAACAACAGCGTTTGTTGAGTCTAACTAGATGAGAGTTTTTAAAAACAGAAACCAAGTATTAGTCATCTGTCACACAGTAGGTGTTAGACAAATGCTCTGGGGACTGAACTGAATTGCTTATGAGAATTTATATGTAAGGCACCTTGCTAAGTGCTCAATAAATGTTATCTATTATTAATAATATGTAAAATAATATACAAATGCAAGGGGTTGTTAATATTATTCTAGCTTTGATCCTTGTTCAAATTTTAATGACTAGTGAGAAGATAGTCTCCAAATGTCTGTATTTATAGAAAACTAGCATTTCATAAATATTGAAATTGTGCTTTTATCTACAAATGATGCTTGGCAATTTTCTATAAATGCTAGCTTGAGAGGCTCAGTTTTAAAAATGCATACATTTGATAACAGTTATGAAAACTGTTTATTAAATGGTAAAATTATCTCTGGTCATGTTTATACTTACTGCATCAAATCATTTAAGCATCTGCACTTTTGATCTCTTTCTGTCAATGTGTTCTGGGCAAAGAGCAAGACCTGAGTCTCTCTATCTAGGCCAAGAAAGCAATAATATAGGCAGGCATGTGTGTTGATGGATATGTCAAGTCAGTAAAACAATATGACTATCTGTTCATAGGAACATTTTTCCATGTTCTGTATTAAGATCTTATGCAGCAACAGTAATTGTTATCTACCTTTCCAAGTGTTAGCTTTGGGTGTTCTAATTCTCTCACTGCTCCTCTTTACCCCTCTCCTCTTACCCCCTCCCCTCTTTTCTCTCCCCTCTTTCCCCGCTGCTTTCCTTTCTTTCTTTCCCACCTTTCCTACAACTCCTCATCTCTCAAATCTTATATCTAAAATTGTTTCATTCTGGCACCTACACTTAGTTTCTCTCTCTCTCTCTCTTTCTCTCTCTCTCTCTCTTTCAATTTTGAAATATTAATGAGTCCTTGCATTTGTATTATAATACCTTAGAAACAAGCTAGTGCCTATATTCACTGCTGGCAGGCCTTAGCAACAGCAATTATCCATATCCAGTCCTTGAGTTTTTCTAGTCTGAAATAGCCTCAAGTTTGGGCACAAAATAACTTGTGCAAAACATTCTGTTTATCTGATTCCTCCTTCTGATGCCTAGAATGTGAATATGAAGCTTCTCTGATTGTTTTACTCTTTTCCTCACTCTAGATGTTTATATATTTGTTTATCGGGATATTTCGAGCATTGTATTAAATGTTGGAGTGCAGAATGGATATGAATATGCAAAGAGAACTTTCATAGAATTTTTATTAAATAATCTCCAGAGATCCTAACCATTCTTCTAATTGTCATTATTTTATATTGAACAACCTTTCTGTTCTTTTTGCTATTCTTTCCTTAGGATATTTGTTCATTCCTTCTGTTCGTTACCTAGACCAGAACCTACTTCCCAGTAGCTATTATCTCAATTTCCCAGTGGCCATTATCATTTTCCTGTCAAAATAACTTATTTTGCTGAATTTAAGAAATTTATCACAATTTAGCACTCCAGAGAAATGGCTTGATCCAAGCCTAGCAAGTACCTTGCAGATTCAACTATTAAAATATCTCCTTCAGTGCTTGCTTAATTCCAGTTTTCCCAGAATAAAGACATGAATATTTTTTCTTTCCTGGGATTTTTTTGTAATAGCAAGTAAATTTTGAGTTTTTAGAAAAATTCTTGCCTCAGGATAGATGTTAAAGGTTTTACATTATCTGGACTTTTATCTATGGAGATATTGAAGAATAGTATTTCTTTGCTTTTCAAGATAAAATATTCTTGATGTGTCCCATGAGGAACTATTAACTGATCCCAAGACTTTTGGGTTTAGCATGAATCTGTAAACCTGTTAGTTATAGAAAGTAAATGAAGAAAAGACACATCTAAGAAGCCATCATGCAAATATATGATCACCCAATTCTTTCCTGGCTAAAAAAAAAAATAAAGTAAAAATATCTTGTAGCAAATGGCAAGGCTACGGGAAATGCTCTGACTGTTTTAGTGCAGTATAATTAATTCTGTTCACACACTAACCCTATTAATGACTACGGTTAGTGTCTGTACCACTAGGATTTTTCAGTCACAACTCATCAATGTTTCTTAATAGTGCCAAAAGTAAGTTTACTATGTGTGAACACTGCTGGAAACTGGCATATCTAGACAGTTGAGATCTGTATATTTGTATATACAGAAATTGAGGGTAGAAATATTTACACAAGTAGTTAATGACAATGCCAGCCAGAAACTCATGAACCTGTGTGTACTATTTCAACCACATGCAATGGATGGCAGTGTTAGGAGAAGGGAACGAACACAAGAAGCACAGAAAAGCATGTTGATGTATGTCTTCGGCTGATCTGAAATACCATCTTTTATTTCCCTTACAGTAGACTAAGAAGATTGGAATGAACTTCAAAAGTAATTTTTACTTAATATTTTATTGTTGATATAGTCTGTGCTAGATTCTGTGGTGATGAATATGAACCTGATCTGATTTTGTTTTTGCAAATTGCTTATAGGCATACTATGAGGAAACATTAGGAAATACATAGAGAATGCTGTGTGGGATTAAGAAGAGAAAACAAATGGGTGTTAGTAGGGAAGGCCTTAGAGATGAGTTGAGATACTCTATGGAGAAGGTGGTATTTCAACTGGATTGTCAATGGATGGGACATGAACAAAAAATAGTTGGACTACAAGAGGAAGAAATAACAATGCACAATACTTGCTCCCTTTTAAAAGGATTTGTAACTAGTAATAAAGTAATATTAATAATATCACTTGCTTATGTTATAAAAAGCAAATGTGAAATCGATGTATAAATACTTTTTAAAGTCTAAAATATCTTGGTAGGGGCTGGAGAGATGGCTCAGTGGTTAAGAGCGTTGCCTGCTCTTCCAAGGGTCCTGAGTTCAATTCCCAGCAACCACATTGTGGCTCACAACCATCTGGAATGAGGTCTGGTTCCCTCTTCTGGCCTGCAGACATACACACAGACAGAACATTGTATACATAATAAATAAATAAATATTAAAAAAAAGAAATAAAATATCTTGGTAGTAAAACAAAATTTCAAACTCCCTGATTTTTTTCCTTGATTTATATAATGCTGAGTTTTGTGAGCGTTTTTCTCCCACCCTTCCTCTCTTCCATCTGCCTATTAATAACTGATTACTGAGTACTTATAACGCACCTGTAACTATGTGAGGCTCTTAAGCATGGTGGTTAATGGATATATTATAATATGGATATAATATAATAGATAGTATGTTGTACTAAAAAATCTATAATACTAGGGAAATATGTTAACTAGTGTAATAGGGAGATTGAATATGCTGTGTAAGTCTACATATCATTTCAGACTTAATCTAGGGGTAGCAAGATGTTTTAGCAGATAAAAGTGTTTCCCACAAAAGCCCAGTGACCCAAATTTAAACCAAGGGACCCACATAAAGTGAAAGTAGAAAAATCAATTAAAGTTGTCATCTGATCTCCAAGTACACCATGGCATGTATATGCTCCTATGAAGTTTCTCTCTCTCTCTCTCTCTCTCTCTCTCTCTCTCTCTCTCTCCCTCTCCCTCTCTTTCTCCTTCTTACTCTCCCTCTCCCCTCCTTACTGTCTCTCTGTCTGTATCCTTCTGTCGCTCTCTCTTGCACACACACACTAATAAGTAACTAAAGATTTTAAAATCTTATCCACTACAAGAATGAAGATACTTCCTCGGGAAATATCATTTATTCTGAGAGCTAAAATATAAATAGTAGGTGGAAGCATATATACATGAAATAGTAGAATATATTTAAAACCAAAAATGAGTGACAACTGGTATGGGAGGTCCTTCTGTTTATGTGTTGATTTTATTGGCTAATGAATAAAATATTGGGTTGGCCTATATCATGGGTGGAGGAAGGCAGAGTTAGGGAGATGTCATGGAGCTGCTAACAGAGTAAGACATGCTGTGACTTTGCCAGTAAGCAGCTGCCATGTGGCATTACACAGATTACTGGAGATGAGTTAAATTAAGATGTAAGAGTTAGCCAATAAAAAGCTAGAGCTAATGGGCCAAGTAGTGATTTAATTAATACAGTTC